TTTCACCCTAAATAAGAAGAAATAAGAAATTATATTAATCATAGACACTGAGACACAGAGAAAAAATCATAGATAAAAACACATTGTCATTTACTGCAATGCTAAATATGTAAAGTTTACATTTTGGCATTAATACTCTACATTGTAATATTTATTGTACATGCTAACTAAAATCCATTGTACTACAGTACTGTTTTACTGTAATATTATAAAATTATTGCAGTAATGTAGTAATGAGTAGTGTCAGTTGGGAAAAAATTTATAATCCTAAAATAGGCTTAATTTTCTTTATGCTGAATATATTTCCTTTTTTTTCCTTTGTTGATTTTGGGGTTATAAAAACACATTGTCATTTACTGCAATGCTAAATATGTAAAGTTTACATTTTGGCATTAATACTGTACATTGTAATATTTATTGTATATGCTAACTAAAATCCATTGTACTACAGTACTGTTTTACTGTAATATTATAAAATTATTGCAGTAATGTAGTAATGAGTAGTGTCAGTTGGGAAAAAATTTATAATCCTAAAATAGGCTTAATTTTCTTTATGCTGAATATATTTCCTTTTTTTTCCTTTGTTGATTTTGGGGTTAAATTTGTCCTGTTCTTGTGAGATCTGTTGAATATGTACGTAAAATATGTGAATTATTAATTTTTTATTGCATCGTTGTTGTTTTACCAGCAGCGGCCTGTTTAGCAATGGGCTGTTTCTCATTTTCTTGCTGCTTTATGTTCAGAAAAAGATGATTTGCGATATATTCTACTTCTAAAATTACATTTATTACCAAAGGAGCTCATTATTAATGAAAACAATCTTCCACATGGACCCCATGAGCACATTTGTGAAGAGGGGCTCTCTAGAGGAGCAGGGATTCCTGTGGTCTCAGTGGTGTCCATTAGATCGATTATCTTCATACCTCTAATATGTTTAGTAAGCCCATCTGATATTGATAGTAAAATCTATCTTTAATAAGTCTGTCAGGCTTATTTATTAAGGCCAAGTAGTGATTTTATTACGCTCAAAATATAACCTAATTCAGGATGGTGGTTCCACAAATTGGAAATGGGTTTTTGTAAAATTAGATTACATTGTGAACTTTAACTTTCTAACTTTCTACAGTGGTATCTTAAAAATAATCTCTTTCAGTCAAAGACAGTTCACCCAAAATGAACATTTTCACCTTTGTCTTTCCAAACCTGTATGACTTGTGGACCCCATTGACTGTCATCGTATGGACACTTGACAAAAAAAAATAAACACTTCACACATTTTTGCAAAATATCATCTTTTGTGTTTGCAGAAGTTTGGAACGATTTGAAGGGGAAATTTAGTTTTTGTGTAAACCATCCCTTTGACTATTAGTGAGCAGTACATGAATGCTATGTTAACTGCAAGAAATTATGTGGGGGGAAATGCAGTCTCAATGCAAATGGATCAAGTAAACTTCGGTTTTGCAAATTTAAATGAATAGTACACTATGCAGTTTTAATTGAAACTTTTTTTTTCTTTTTTTTTTTTGAGTGTAAGCAGAAGTGGCATGTGTCAAGCAAGAATAAAAGCATACATAATGACTGCTGGAAGGACTGGTTTGCCTCTTATGGCAAAATATGATGTGAAAGTTGTTATTTCAAGATAAAAGTTTTTTGAAAATATCAACTTATGCACTAAAAAATATATGCAGTTGATGTCTTTGTCTGAGCTGTGAATATCGAGTCCTCGGGACAGGATTGTAACTTCATTTGAGCAGTGGAGTCATGTGCAGGGGAACAATGGAAACGTGTGTGTGCATGTCTCTTGTGGGTGTTGTGTAAGAAACACACTGACATATGCCTCCTGTGCCTCTGCTGTTTACTCTGTTTAATCCCTCTCATAAACACGCACACATTTAAACAATGGAGAACTGCTTACCCCTCTCAGTGGGGCTGTAATAGGATATGCTGCAATGGCCAATGTGGTGTGCGTGATGGAGAGAGAGAAATAACGTGTTTATCTGTTATAGTCCATTATAGTTCAATACTGCAGTAGATTGCAGGAGGGATATGAATGAATGAGCAAAATCGAGCCATCAAGGTCTGATAACTACAGTGCTGCATTCTGTTTCCATGGAGACGATTGCCCCGCTGGGCTTTGGATCACCAATAACAGGCTGTGTTCAGAATGGAATACAAGCGTGCTGCTTACTGTGCAGTATACACTGAATACTGCTTACTGTTTCTATAAATAGCATGTGAAGCAATATGCATTATGCAGCGTTAACAACCTCATTACTTATTAGTTACATGCTTAATTCAGCCAGAGGTATCTTGGAAATACTTTTGTTTTTCTCCCAATAATGATATGGTAATTTTGTTTTAAAAGACTTGCCTGTTGGCAATCAGATCAAAAAATGAGTAAAGATGATAAAAATGGCAATTAGTTACTAATTATTATTGCAGTTCATTCATGTTCACTATCGTTCAAAAGTTCGAGGTCAGTAAGAAATCACTTATGCTCGTCAAGGCTGCATTTATTTGATCAAAATACAATAAAAAAACATTGTGAATTATTATTATTACAATTTAAAATAACGGTTTTCTTGTTTTTATATATTTTAAAATTCAGATTATTCCTGTAATGGCAAAACTGAATTTTCAGCAGCCATTACTTCAGTCCTCAATCAATCTAATATGCTGATTTAATGCTCAAGAAGTTGCAAAAAAAATTTTTAATTAAATTTTTTTTATTATTATTATTAACATTGATGAAAAAAGTTGCGGCTTAAAACAATAGCTTTAATTTGAAATCGAAATCATTTGTAACATTACTAATGTCTTTACTGTCACTTTTGATCCGTTCAATGCATCCTTGTTGAATAAAATAATTTCTTAACCAAAAAATAAATAAATTAATATTATCTTATATTGTTCTGAAAATAGCCAGATCAGACATCTTTTTTAGGAAGTTACTACCCATCATAAGTTCAACAGATTTTAAATTAATAGCTGTAAAGATGTTTTATTTATTGATGATGATTGGTAAATGTGCTGTGTGAAGTATACGCAACCTAGCATTAGCTTCAAGTGCTGAAGCAGGACAGCAGTGATCTGAGTGTTCATGTTGCATGATGCGCTGCTTTCTTATGTTCGGAAGCTTCATTTTCTGCTTGTTGCACATTCGAACTAATGTTTGACCAGTGCATTTCAACATGTTTAGAAACCTGTGTCTTTGTGTGTGTGTGTGTGTGTGTGTGTGTGTGTGTGTGTGTGTGTGTGTGAGTGAGAGGAGCATGACTGCACGTATCCTGACCTGTAGTGAGGTGCTGAGAGACAGGAAATTGGATTTTGCTGGTATCAGTACGGTTTCATAATGTGCTCTTCTTAGTGTGATGGATTTGATTTTCATCCTCCTCCTCCTTTTCCCCCCGTCTGTGATTTCGTCCTTATCTTAACATGAGATCCTCAGTCTAAGAGATGAATCTCACCAACCACCGTTTGAGTAAGCTGAGATATGTTTGTTAGAATGCAACGGTGAGGTGAACAATGCTGTGTCGAAACCATGAAATTTTTCCCCCAGACTCCCTTGCCAGAAGGTGAAAATCTACCCTAACCTTTTCATTGTCAGATTTCTATGGTGCTGATTTCTGAGATTGCTGCTGCAGTGAGATGCTCTGATAAAGTGTTTTCCACACAGGCTGGTACAGCACTTATAGATATTATGTAAATTGGTTCTTTAAAAATGTCATGTTCAGCATACGACCACAGATCCGTCCACTACTGAGCCGTTGAATGGCCTGTATATCACAGACCTGCTAATCAATATCCTTCCTAAAAATGCTGTAGTCTGCAAGGTGTAAATTCAGTGTACCTCTCTACTGGTGAATGTGTCAATGGGTGGTCGCATGATGTTTGTATCTACTCTAAAGCGATGCTTCATGTATAGTAAGAGGATAATTTTGTATTTTTTTTAAATGCAAGATTGTCTGATAATGTGGTAGTACTGTTGAAGTGGGATTCGGCATGCTTTGGATCAAAGGTAAGGAGCAAGGCATGTGAGGGAATTAATATTAATGTTTTGCAGTGATGAGCTTTCCCTGATGAAGGGCTCTTTTGCATAATGTTAATATTGCTGATACCTTTTTAATCACCTTTTTGTGGTTCCTTTGCATTAGGTTTGATTGGTAGCAAAACATTATTCTCCTAATTATGAAAAGAAGTGCCCTTGCCATTTTTTAAATTTAATATAAATATATATTTTTATATATATATATATATATATATATATATATATAAAGTTATGTAACATTTCTAGTTTATGATGCTGAAATTGCAAATCTGTTATTAATAAATACTCATTATTTGCTTAGTCGGGTCATACATGTTCATTACATTTTAATTACTTAATACATGCATGAACCACTCCAGCTTCTCTTCTCTTTTGCATAATTTTAATATTTAAAATCACCTCTTGTGGTTCCTTTTGTGTTAGGTTTGATTAATAGCAACACATTGTTTTCTTAATTATGAAAATAACTGCCCTTGCCATTTTTTAGATGGTGTTTTAATGAATGTTAAGTAACATCTCTAGTTTGATGCTTAAATTGCATTTAAATTATAAATACATAATGTTCATAAATAATCATTATTTGCTATACTTGTGTTAATTAAAATGTAATGTACATGCGTTAAAAACTTCAACTTCTTAATTGTGGCTTTTGTCGACATTAACTCATTAATGTAATTTGAAATCAAACAATGACAGACCCCCTACAGTGCCATTGCAGATCCCCTAGGGCTCAAATGTGTAAATAGCACTTCATGAACTAACAAACAAACAAAACTGATGCTTAGCGATTCAAGACAGACTATATTCCTCTTTTTCAGATAAGTTTCATTACAGATGGAGAATTGTTGTTTTTCAGTAAAGAGAGCAATAATATCCCCTTTTGTTTATAAATGAGAGCACCTGCTTGTGTATTTATCTCTGTCTTCCTTCATATCTCTCTTTCTGTATGCAGTCACAGCTCTCAGTCTACAGAGGAAGCTGGATTTAATGACCCCAGCTTACTGGAAAACCTCCAAAGTAATCATGTAAGTACTGTAATGGCATCACAGCTGCTCAGTCATGCATGCCCAGCCAGCCAGAAATTTACACACAGGCCCTGATATCCACACGCTCACACCTCCTGTCTTCCGTCACAGCTTTTTTTCTGGCTCATATTAGCTCTGTTCTGCTCACCTGGCTGTTTATGAATAGTGTACAGTCACAAAACTTATTTTATAATGACATGAGACTTTTACCTATTTTTTTAAATATAAAAATAAGACCCCATATGCAGGTATAAGATATTTATATGATCATATTAATATTGATAATTACACATCATATTAATGTACATTGACTGCAGGAAATGCAACGGAACATGATGCTTGGATATTGTGGGTGGTTACGAAAGCAAAGCAGTTCGGAGATGGTTTTTAACAAGCTGCTATGCAGGTTCCAAGGCGTTTCGGTGCTGTCTCTGATATTCTTGTTCCTAGATATAGCTTGGATTCTTTCTTCAGTGTAAGCCTGAGATTGTTTCTTTTAGGCTGCCAGGGTGAAAATTACAAGTTAGAAAAATAATCACAGACATCTCAACAAATTGCATGCATGATTTAAGGTGTCATTCATGTCTATAGCACAAACGTTCAAGTAAACATTTAAGTAGAATTTGAGTGTCTTTTTCCTTTTTTTTTTTTTATTCTTTGTCTTGATTTTTTCCCACTCAGCCCACTGCTTCAGTCATCCAGGAGTTCATGACCATGATGGCTATCTGTCACACGGCTGTCCCTGAACACATCGACAACAAAATCACCTACCAGGCTGCATCCCCAGGTCAGTCAAAATGCTCCCCACACACTGAAGCAACAAATGTTCACCTCAGGTTCACGTTAATTGACAGCCCTTATCAATACACTACCGTTCAACAGTCTGGGGTCAGTAGGATTTTACTACTTTTTTTACTTTTACTAATCAGATTACTACTTTTATTCAGCCAGGATGCATTAAAGTGATAAAAAAGGACAGTAAAGAAATGTGTATTTTTACAAAAGTTTTCTATTTTTATTCATCAAAATGGCAAACGCTCACTCAGGGACTTTAGTAAGATGTTACCAGAAAAGTTTTTAGATTTGTTTATCAGATGTTAATTAAGAAAAATCTTGTGTAATTTTAACTGCTGTATTTTTTTTGTTTGCTGGTTTTTTATTTTGTTTATGTAACTCTTGTATTATCCCAACTCCCAAGAAGTCTTGAATCCTTAGATGCTGACATAGCAGTAAATATAAATAAATAACACACAGCAGCCACAACAGCACTTATGTTTGATTTATTTTTTCCTTTTTATTCGAAACATCCCCAAGCACATTAACTATATCATGAAATAAATATCTTGATTCTCACCTTTCTAGATTGTTGATCTATAGTGGGCGATGGTCAAAGTAACTATGTATTAGCTATGCATAAAAACCTGTCTGTTTACTTAATTAACAGATATGGGTGTCATGCCATAACATTTTTAATATGACTGAGTTTATTTTTAATGTGAATTTAACATTGAAAGTTAATGTGAATAAAAACATGGCAAGTTAGGCTACTAATCATAACACTTAGCCTTCAGAAAGAGAGCAAAGAACATTTTCACTGACAGTCTAGTTCAAGCACTCTCAAAAACTCCCATTAAAATCACTGAAGCGGTTTACACTATGAAATTAATATCTTACAGATTCGTACACACATTTTCACTTTTTTTGTTTCTGACAAGAGAATTCGCCAGAAACCGGTTTTCAGTCAGCGAGCGAGTGAAGAAAACACCGGCATTTTAGCGATGACTCATCTGAGCACATCTGATTGGTCGGCATTGCATTCATAAGCTCAACAGCATCATGTGTGATTGGTTAATGCGCAGTGCTGTAAAAAGAGTCTGTATCTGGCTCAGCGCCAGGCAGCGAATGCAGATTTGAATTTAGCAGCTGATGATATGACGTACTGAACGTTCTAATCACGCCGGTGTGATTGTATTAAAAATAGAAAATATTAATCGGCTATTTTTTGTCTTTTGGAAGCTGCATTCAAAATCCACTTGGCTCAAAAATCTGACGTGCCCCCCTCACTTTGAATGGGCATGACGCCTCTGACTACTACTACTACTCAAAATGACAATCACAGGAATAAATTGCATATTAAAATAGAAAAAAAAAAAATTTATTAGAATGTTTACAACTGTTTTACTGCATTTTGGATCAAATAATGCATAAGAGATTTTCAACTGTCAACAGCATTAAAAAAAATCTTACCGATTCCAAACTTTTGAATGGCGTAGTGCAGGGGTGGCGAACGTCGGTCCTGGCGAGCCGCAGCCCTGCAGAGTTTTGCTTCAACCCTAATCAAACACACCTGAACAAGCTAATCAAGGTCTGAACGGTTATTAGGAAGCTACAGGCAGGTGAGTTTTAATTAGGGTTAGAGCTGAACTCTGCAGGGCTGCGGCTCTCCAGGACCGGAGTTCGCCACCGCTGGCGGTAGTGCATGTGTATATATATGAAAAAACTCACCCCTTTTAGATTGCGCTCTATTTATTTACTAACTGCTTGTTTTCTTTAAAAAAAGAAAAAAAGCTTGCTCTATTCTTTTTCTATTCTATCTGTTTGCTTTTTATTTATTATATAATTTATAAAATAAAAAAAGGACAAAAAAATACTTTCTATGTGTACTGCGTTAAGCTAACTCTTGTTGATTTTGATTGCTTCCATTGTCCTCACTTGTAAGTCGCTTTCGATAAAAGCGTCTGCTAAATGACTAAATCTAAATGTAATGTAATGTATTCAATAGATAAAGCTATAAATATATCAGTTAAGTCTGTAGATGTAGTTCTAGAAATGTGGAAACGGGTCCACAAAATGTAATTGAAGTAATTTTAGCATTGCACACACTAGGTAAACAGGCTCTCAGACAAGATAGGCAGCTGGTTGAGGTTGAAAAGAGGGCACAGGAAGTGAACAGGGAACAGCATGCTCTTAATTTCCTGTTTCTCTTTATAATTGTTCTGAATCTCTAGCAGACATCAGTGTTGAGCTGAGACTGAGAGCAGTGTCGTGGAGCTGTTTGAGTGCATTTAATCAAACTGCCTCACCACATGTATTATTTGTTTGTGTAAGACATTCATGAAAGTAAAATAATGCAGATGAAGAAACAGATGAGTTCATTAATGCTGGTTCACTCTCTTCGCTACTTTGCATTTGACACTTCATGTTTATGCATAATTTATCTTTTTAGCATTTGTCAGAAGTCATCCCTGGCTTTGAGGCTTAGCGAGATGGGTTTATGTGACCCATTTTAATTTCACATCAGTGCAGCAGTGCATTGAATATTAGCAAGACCTGTGTTTGAGATGGATGGAAGGCTAAGGCAGGGTACTGTGATAAGTGATGATTGTAGAGACCGATTGGAGGACAAAAGGTTTTAATAGTGCCATCTCAAACAGTTTGTCTACTTAGTGTTGTGAACAAGTAGTCATATACCAGATGCTTTTATCCAATGCAACTTAACCGCCACATGCCCCGACCACATGCTGTCTTGTTCCACAGATGAAGGCGCTCTGGTTCGGGCGGCACAAAACCTGGGCTTCGTGTTCACTGGGAGAACTCCAGACTGTGTTATTGTGGAATCGGTAAGTACAGATGTCCTGGGAATAGATGATGAGTTGCACTGGGAACATGACTTACCCTCTGTCATGCTACATGGCTCACTCACACTTTACACTCTGGAGAACTATTACAGGCCATTTGTACAGTGCAGTCCCACTTCAACAGATCCATTATTCCCTTATTATAATGTATGATAGAGAGGAAGCCATCACGGACCTGTGGCAACTTCATTTCATATGCAGAGTCAATGAATTGTGAACATTCTTCCTTTCTGAAACAAATAACCCTTTGACGTTCGCTAATAGAGTGTTTTCTGCACTGCTATTCGGCAGTGACGCTACTGAATCTTCACAGCAAAAATACATTAATGAATTGGTAATGATTTACGATAAAATTTAATTTGTTAAAATTAGTTATTGCATTAGATGTCATGAACAATATTTTATACAGCATTTGCTAATTCATACAACTTGAAATGTTAAAGATGTGTATTACCGCAGAAAATATATATATATTTTTTTAGAAATTAATACTTTTATTCAGCAGGGATGCGTTAAATTGATCAAAAGAGACAGTAAAGACTTTTACATTGCTACAAAAAAATACTTCAAATAAATTCTGTTCTTTTTAACTTTCTATTTATCAAAGAATCCTAAAAAAATTATTAATTAGATTAGAGTAATTAGAGGAATTAGAACTTAATTAGAGTAATAGCTGCTGAAAATAGGTTTGCTATTACAGGCATAAATTACATTTTTTAAACGGTAGTCTATTAGTAAATGTAGAAATTAACATGAACCAAAATTAATAAATGTTGTTTTAGATTAAAAATGAAGTGATTGAAGTTGTGCGTTTGCAGACTGGATTGAATCTAATTAACAAACAAATGATTATTATGAGTTACTTTACTGAAATACCCAAAAGTGCTCATAATAGCAGTTTACATCATACTCGCAAATTTTTAGCTGATTCCATCTCAGTGGTTACTGAATTACCAGCTGACCTACTTACTGGATATTTATGTTACTTGAAGTTATAACAAAAGAGTTTTAATGTAATAAGGTCATGTAATTAAAAAAATAATTATTACAATCATACAAAAATCATATGGCTTTTTTTAGTATGTATTTAGGACTATGCAGGAAACTGCTGTACTATATCATTAAAGCTTAGCTTGTCTTCAGGTTCTTTTTGTTAAAAATCAATGCTTCTGTTGATTTGAAATTAAGGAAGTTTAATTAGGAGAGATGCTCTATAGATTTTTCAGGCTGGGTTTCACCGTATCGGATGTGATTTTCACACTCTACACAATGTCTCAATGGAGAAGAGCTGAGGAACGTGATGATTTTGCAGCACTAGAGGGGATAGTGAAAGATCCGGCGATGTGCTGCAGATATCTGTGCAGAGCTCTTAATAGAAACTTGCTGATTGAAGATTAGAGAAAATGTAATGAGACAGAAAGCACTGCTGTTTTCTTAGACCTGGGAGCAAAGAGTCACACTTTGCAGCTATAACTGATTAATCTGATGGCAGCGCCAGGGGAAGAGAGCGAGTCTTGTGCTCCCTGGCCTGTAACACACTCTAATTTTGGCCCTTCATTGCAAGACAACTCCCACCATTCACCCCATCATCATACTTGCTTACTTCTAAAAGTCACAGGGGGCAAAAAAAACTATTAAAAGTTTCAATTTTCTGCTCCCTGGTGTCGAGATGTGTTCAGTCTTTCAAAATAAGCTAAGAGAACGGTAGAGAGATCTCAAACTCTGTGTTAATACCGTGTCGTAACCAAGCGTGACGAGATTTCAGTGACAAGTCATTTTATTGTAAAAATGTGTGATGCAACAAAATCAGTGCCAATCAGAAATAAATTGTGTTTCTGTAGGTATTTATTATTTATTAGTATTCATTATAGTATTTTTTTGTAAATGCAATTTTTATATACGTTTCCTTTAAGTAAGTTATCTATAAATATAAAGAAAATACAATGGTAAAACAACTATTATAATATAGTGAAATCTCTTTCTTACAGTGTGGAGAGGAGGAGAAATATGAATTGCTGCACGTTTTGGAATTCACAAGGTAAATTATTGCAGCACAATTTCATGTTTTCATTTCCATTCTCATTGTCATTTGTTCAGCTGTACCCATTCGTTTTGCTGGAGAGAAAACAACATGATGGTTTTGCTGTATTTCAGCACCATGTTTACTCGTGGTGGTGATGATGATGATGAGGATGTCAGTGATTATGGTAGTAATGATGCTGGATGATGGTGTTATTCTATGTTCCCCCTTCCCCCACCCAACAGCACCAGGAAGAGGATGTCAGTCATCATGCGCACTCCATCAGGAAAGATCCGCCTTTATTGCAAAGGAGCTGTGAGTATCTGTCTGTTGCTATGGAAACAGAGCCATCAGGCGCTTGCAACTAAAGCCTCACCACACTAGAGTGTTTTCTTTTGTGATCAGGTGAAAAGCCAGACATGCTGCCTTTGTGCGGTTTTTTTTGGTAATGGAGTAATCTTATTCAAATATAAATGTTTGAATGTATGCTGTTATACATTATATTCAAAAAAAGTATTATTATTATTACAGTAAAAATTAAAAGCTACAAGACATATTTACGTTTGATGTGTTTTAGGTTTTATATTAGGTATAAAACTAAGTGCATGTACAATAACAATTATTTTAAATTGCATACAAAGTCAATGAATAATCAATGACATTTTTTTTTACATCAATTTCTATATCAATTAGTCATTTTTAACATCTTGAGTAATCTAAGTGGGTGAGTGTGCATATTAGAAGTGTTAGTGTATGAAATGCAAGCTGGCAGCACTCTTTAGTGCTCAGACAGAGAATGATGGGAAAGAGATGTTGTGTAATGCATTAAAATTATATTACCATGATACTATAAATGTGTTAATGAAGAAAATAAATAATGTAGAATTAGTCAGACATATGTTATGACTCTATTTTCTATTTTCCTCCGTGCTCCCTTCGTGGATCACATAAAATGCAGAGTAGAGAAATAACACCCCATGTTTTTTGTCTCCCAGGACACAGTGATCTATGAGCGATTAGCAGACAGCTCCAGATACAAGGACATCACCCTGAAACACCTGGAACAGTTTGCCACAGAGGGTGAGACACACTCACACACACACATATACACCTGCTTAGTATCTGCTGTCTCTCTTCTGTTTATCCGTTATCAAATGATCTTCTTAAAACAAGACTGTGAGATTAATGAGAACTAAGGAGAGATTGGTGTGCTTGAATGAACTGGCATACTGCAGTGCTTCACTCTCTTGTGGGGATGGCCCCCTAGTGGAAGAACTGAGATATGTCAGCCTAATAGGAACCTCAAGCAATCAGTTGCTTTGTCTTTTAAACATCCTGCATGAATAATTCATGTTGAGCGGAGATCATCATCTCAGCAGTATTAGCATCAGTCTAAAAACAGGTCATGGCTTTCTTCTCGAAGATGATTAGAAGAAAGAGATTTTTGAGGAAGGGAATATATTGGGCATATCTAAGAGAAGCTCATGTATCTTTGTGCATTTTTGCAGGTCTCCGCACATTGTGTTTCGCTGTGGCGGACATCTCAGAGTCGTCCTATCAGCAGTGGCTGGAGGTTTATCATCGTGCCTCGATGTCTCTCCAAAACAGGGCACTCAAGATGGAGGAAAGCTATGAACTGATTGAAAAGGTGAGGTATCCAAATAGCTTTTCCAGTGTGCACAGGTGAGGTAGTCTACATCCAAAGATCACAGAAACTTCCAGAACCTCATATGTCATCCTTCCTGCACCAAACCTAAGCCAGAGTAACTGCAAGGGAAGGCAATATATCATATTTTCTAGTTTTTTTTTATTTTATTTAGCTGTACACAGATTTTTACACACAAAGTCCAGCCAAAAAATTCCAAACAATGAACCACATCATGTATCATGGTATTACCATCGACAGTATCATGGGGTAATACCGTGCTTAAAAATTAATACTTTTTTTAGCTGGGATAATTGAATTAATCAGTGCATACATTTATAATGTTACAAAAAGATTATTTAATTGTAAACATTTTTAAATATATGCTGTTCTTCTATTTCACTCTATTCATCAAAAAATGCAATAAGCAGCACAAGAAGAAGAAGAAATATTCAGAAAGTACAGACATAGTGCAGACATACATAACAGAGTAGGGATTGGAATATAACACTAATATAAGGAAAAAAAGAAAATAGAATACAGAATTTCTATATACAGAAATAGAAGAACATGAAAAACATTTAATTGTTTAAATAAATGTAAGGATATATTAGCTGTGTCTCATTTAGAAGGCTGCACCCTCCGGAGGTCGAATCCTCTGGAGGTCGCATCCTCTGTAGGATGCATATACGAAGTGTCCTCAACCTAGAATTAAACGAGGCGGCCTTCGGTGGACGGGCGGAAAAGGAAACCGGAAGTATCGCGTTGCTATGCCAACACATTTAGAGCATCGTTGCGCTCTCACACTACTTAAATGAAGGAAATTTATTTCTAAATTTGGAAAGTAATTTGAAAAAAAAAATGCTTTTACTTGTTATATTTTGTTCAATGTTTGGGGAGCTGCAGCCTACGTACAGCAGGCATCTATTAGAGATAAAAAGGAGGAGGATATTAAAAACAAAGTTTATCCGTTTTTACCGAGGCGAATTAAGGTAAGTTGTAAACACCACATCTGCGCTTGTCTGTACGTTACATCTGCCGGTGCCGGCATTTTTCAAATCCTATAGGTGTGCAGATATGTTATTTACAAAGTGTGCAGTTTACACGTGTACAAATTTTGGATTCGGTGTATAAATATGTCAGTTGTGATGGATGATGTATAATTATGAAAGTTTAATTGTTCAAGCTGAATATAGCCTGCGGGAAAAAACTGTTCTTGTGCCTGGCTGTTCTGGTGGTCAGTGCTCTGTAGCGCCGGCCAGAAGGCAACAGTTCGAAGAGAGAGTGGGCTGGGTGTGAGGGGTCCAAGGTGATTTTTTAGCCCTTTTCCTCACTCTGGAGATGTAAAGATCTTGGAGGCTGGGCAGAGGGGCACCGATAATCCTCTCAGCAGTCCAGACAGTCCGTTGTAGTCTCTTGATGTCTGATTTGGTAGCTGAACCAAACCAGACAGTTATGGATGAACACAGGACAGACTCGATGGCAGAGTAGAACTGTTTAAGCAGCTCCTGTGGCAGGTTGAATTTCCTCAGCTGGCGAAGGAAGTACAACCTCTGCTGGGGCTTTTTCACAATATAGTCAATGTGATTGTCCCACTTCAGGTCCTGAGAGATAGTGGTGCCCAGGAACCTGAATGACTCCACTGCAGTCACAGTGCTGTCCATGATGGTGAGTGGGGGGAGTGCAGGGGGTTTTCTCCTGAAGTCCACGATCATCTCCACAGTTTTGAGCGTGTTAAGCTCCAGGTTGTTAAGACTGCACCAGACAGCCAGCTCTTTAACCTCCTGTCTGTAAGCAGACTCGTCTCCATCCTTGATGAGGCCGATGGACTGTAGTGTCGTCTGCGAACTTCAGGAGCTTCACAGAGGGGTCCTTTGAAGTGCAGTCATTCGTGTAGAGGGAGAAGAGCAGTGGGGAGAGAACACAACCCTGAGGGGCGCCAGTGCTGATCGTGATAGTCCTGGATGTGAGTGCCCAGCCTCACTAGCTGCTGCCTGTCTGTCAGGAAGCTGGTGATCCACTGATAGATGGAGGTGGGCACAGAGAGCTGTGTGAGTTTGTCTGAAAGAAGGTCAGGAATGATGGTATTGAAGGCTGAACTGAAGTCCACAAATAGGATCCTTGCGTAATTCCCAGGTCTGTCGAGGTGTTGCAGGATGTAATGCAGTCCCATGTTGACAATCATCAACGAACCTGTTTGCTCTGTAGGCAAACTGAAGAGGATCCAGCAAGGGTCCAGTGATGTCCTTCAGGTAGGCCAGGACCAGTCGCTCAAATGACTTCATGACCACAGACGTGAGAGCGACAGGTCTGTAATCATTAAAGGTATAGTTCACCCAAAAATTCCCAATGATTTACTCCCCTTCAAGCCATCCTAGGTGTATATGACATTCTACTTTCAGACTAATACAATTAGATTTATGTAAAAAAACATCCTGGCTCTTCCAAGCTTTATAATGGGAGTGGACGGGAGCCCAAAAATTGAAGTCCAAAAAATGTAACCAATCCATTATAAAAGAAGTCCATACTGCTCCGGGGGGTTAATAAAGGCCTTCTGAAGCGACGCAATGCATTTGGGTAAGAAAAATATCAATATTTACAACTTTATAAACCTTACTCTCTAGCTTCCGCTGACTGTCATACACAGTCCGCTGGACGGCACTCTCTCGTGAATGCGTGTATGACAGTTAGCGGAAGTTAGAGATTAAGGTTTATAAAGTTGTAAATATGGATATTTTTCTTACACAAACGCATCGCTTCGCTTCGGGAGGCCTTTATTAACCCCCCGGAGCCGTGTGGACTTTTTATAATGAATTGGTTCAATTTTTTGGACTTCAGATTTTGGGCTACCATCCACTCCCATTATAAAGCTTGGAAGAGCCAGGATGTTTTTTAATATAACTCCGATTGTATTCATCTGAAAGAAGAATGTCATATACATCTAGGTTGGCTTGAGGATAAGTAAATCATGGGGTAATTTTCGTTTTTTGGGTGAACTAACCCTTTGAGTCCAGTGATTTTTGGCTTTTTGGGGACCGTAATGATGGTGGAGCGTTTGAAGCAGCAGGGAACATCACACAGTTCACTTCACACAGAATGATTTCTGTGGTATCATGTGACACTGAAGACTGGAGTAATGACTGGTGAAAATTCAGCTTTGCCCTCAGGAATACATTACAATTACATATTAATATATACTGCAAAAAGAAAAGTTTTTTTTTATTGTAATAATATTTAACTATTATTTAGCACCATGGGTCTCAAGGAGCAAAAGAGACTTTCAGAAACCATAGAGTTAACCATAACCATATTCAGTACCATGGTATTACCACAATTGTCCTTCTACACGCCATAGTTCTTTATATTAGTTATTAAAATCAGTAACAAAGTCCATGTTAATTTGGACTTATCATCCTGAAATTTCATAAGCTAATTTTTCTTCATAAGAAGGGGCGGTGTGAGGAAATGTCAACATAGCCATACTTCACGAATGACATGCTTCTGAGAGCAGTGGGAAATTTGAGGACAGTCTGCAGGTTATACAGTAATCCTTCTTCTCCTGTAGGAAGTTTAGTTTGACAGGTCACAGAACAGTTCCATGGCTTTGGTTTGATCAATGAGGGCTGGGTTTTCATGGCACCCAAAAAAGTATAAACAATTGGGCCCAAACCGTGAGGAAAGCACAGTGGTGGACCTGTGGAAAGCTGGGCTCTGGAAGTGTTCGTCAAACATGGCCGACCACCATCCTTAATCAATTCTTCTGAGAAAATGGATCTAATCGATCATTTCACATAAAAATCTGGTTTGACAGATGTAATTACAACATGCCATCAGCAGGTGGCAACGGTGGCTCCTGATGTTCCAGCAAGCTGTTACAGTATATCTGAGCAGGAATAGCAGTTAGACTTCTGAAACATCTCATTTCTGGTCTGAGCATAATCAGAAATGATTTAAATGAATGAAGTAATACTTTTGAAATATATATTTTTATTATTAAAGAGGTCATATAATATAATTGCTAAAAATAACGTTATTTTGTGTATTTGGTGTAATGAAATGTGTTTATGCGGTTTAAGGTTTAAAAAACACATTATTTTCCACATACTGTACATTATTGTTTCTCCTCTATGCCCTGCCTTTCTGAAACGCATCAAATTTTACAAAGCTCATCGGTCTGAAAAGCGAGGTGTGCTGTGATTGGCCAGCTATTCAGTGTGTTGTGATTGGCCGAATAGCTCAAGCGTGTGACGGAAATGTTACGCCCCTTACCATATTGTGACGCCGTGTCCCGGCCGGAACGACAAGACAAAAACATTAAAACCCATTATAAACATGGCATTTGTTGCATCCAGTGGGGACATAATTACGGATTATAATGACTTGTTATAATGATCGGAGAAATGACAAGCAAGCGCTACTCTACACTGCTCAAAACTCACGTTTGAATAATCAGTGACAAATTCTTTAAATATAAAAAGACGTACTTGCAGTCTTTGAGTCAGAACAGCCGGCATTGTAGTCTACTCTACCAGGATCAGGAAACAGTCCTCTATAAAATGTTCTGCACACATCTGAATATTTGGGTTGAACTGTTCTGGAACAGTGTTGTAAATACAACTTAACCACTGATTTCAAGTCGTGTCCTCTTTTGGAAGGCCAAACAAAGTGGTTTCGCTTTCACAATGAAACACACAGCATCACACACGGCGGGCTAGAGTGAGCAGAGGCCAGAGGCCTAGAGTGAGTCGAAGGAATCGACGAAAGAGAGGCCGGTGGGTTTGCGTCAACCACATGTGACAACGCCGGGCTGGACTCCGGATATCGTCCTCTTTTGGAAGGCCAAACAAAGTAGTTTCGCTTTCACAATGAAACACACAGCGTCTTCACGACATGGCAGCAACAACAATACTACAGTGAGAATAAAAGTTACACCGCC